ATGGGGAGGGATAAAGAATTCAGTGACTGTGTGAGGTCTCATCTGCTGGCATATGCAGACATGTACAGATCCATACACTTGCACTGTGAGGGGGTGAGGCCCTGGCACAGGTTGCCTCATCCCTGGATATGTTCAAGGTCAGGTTGGATGGGGTCTGGAACAAGCTGGTCTAGTGGAAAGTGTCCCTGCCCATGGCAGGGGGGTGGAACGAGACGATCTTGAAGGTCCCCTCCAACCCAACCCACTCTGTGACTCTGTGATTCCACATACACATGCCGAGATGGAAATGTGGAGCTGGGCTAACCCCACCCAGCCCAAGGAAACTCTTCCAGCTGCAGCTGAAGGGACCACCAAAGCTGCAGCTTGGCACAAAAAGCTTTTCCTTGGCTCCCAATGTCTGCAGGAGGCATCGACCCCCTGGTTCGGGGCATGGTGGTGGATCACGCGAAGCTGATGGAGCAGAACCAACTGCTGGTGGAGGAGCTCCAGAACCACCTCTTCGAGCAGATAGAGGTCATGGGGCTGGATTTGGCAGCCATGAACATGCAACGGGGAAGAGACCACGGCCTGCCAGGTAAGGAGGCACAAATCCACACCTCCTCTGAACAATGCTCTGTTTTTCTCCCGCTGTTTATAAGCAGTTCCGTGAGTGGATTGAGCTTTTCCCATGCCATGAGAAGAAACAGTGCCTGGATTTAAGGGTGAAGGGTGGGTAGATAGGCAGATACAGGGAATAAAAGGTCTGCATTATAAAATTTTAAGACAAAGACAAAAGGCTTGGAAATAAAAAAGTGATGGTTGGGATAAAGTAATAAAGAGGGGCAGGCACAGTGGTGCATTGCAAAGAGGGGGCATGTGGGGTACAGAAGGTACAGACAAGTGACCAAGTTCAGCTTTCACATGGCCTTAGACAGGTCACCAGTGCTTTGTTCTTCACCCATCAGTGCTAATTTGGTGCCTCCTGACAGCCCTGGTCTCTGAGCAGAAGTGACTTCAGGTATGACTGCCCCAGGTGCTCTTGAGTGAAGCACAACCAAATGCTGCTCTTTTCCAGGACTTTGACCCCAGAAATTTTGCCTCCCAGAGCTGCAAGGACTGGTGCACTCGCCCTCAGCGCTACAGAGCTCTTACCCATGGGGTGAACCTGTAGTCACGAGGACAACCCAAACTGTTAGTTGAGTGTGTAGATACAGAAAGGACCTTTGAAAATGTTGTGACTTCCTAGCCAAAAGCACCTTCCAGCTCCTTTAATGCCATGAGCAGAAGCAGACATTGCTCATGGACCACAAGGTCCTGAGTCAGGGCAGATGGTGGGGTGCTGGGGTGGTGGGTTCTGGTCAGCTCCTGCTCCTGCTCTTGCAGGTTACAATGCCTGGAGGGGCTTCTGTGGGCTCTCCCAACCCCGAACTGTAGAAGAACTCTCTGAGGTGCTTGGCAATCCCAAGCTGGCCAAGAAGTTCCTGGATGTGTATGGGACACCGGACAACATCGACCTGTGGATCGGGGCAGTCGCAGAGCCCGTGGTCCCCCAGGGCAGGGTGGGACCCCTCCTGTCCTGCATCATTGGCACCCAGTTCAGGAACCTGCGGGATGGGGACAGGTGAGAGCCAACATTCCCTGGGGCATTTAGCAGGGGGGAAAACTCTGACATTAATCCCACCCAGTGCTCCCAGCAAGGCTCACTCCTTGGCTTTAGCCCAGTTGCCAAAGGACTCATTTTTGCAGCCCGTTCCTGCAGATCCATGTGGCTGAGGAACAGCAGCCCCAGACCATGGGGGATCTGCACTAATCTCTGCCTGAGGTGAGATTTGCTCTCAGGGCACAAAGGGGAGGATAAATCACTGAATCCCAGCAGCCTGGAGACGCTGCATGGAAGATCTGGCCACAGTGGAGACACCTCTTGCCAAAAGGCTGTGCCTTCTGCCTGGTGGATCAAGGTGGATCTGAGCAGAGGCTCACCTTGGTCAGGTCCCATCTTGGCAAGTACCCAAAGACCATGAACTGCTTCTGAAAATGTCCTTGCAGGTTCTGGTGGGAGAACCCGGGAGTTTTCACTCCACAACAGCTGCAAGCACTGAGAAAAATCACGCTGTCAAAGGTGTTCTGTGACAACACTCGTATCCAAAAGATACCCAGGGATGTGTTCAGGATCAACAGATACCCCGAGGACTTCACTGACTGTCAGGAGATCGACGCGCTTGACCTCTCGCCCTGGAAAGATGAACCTGAGAGTGGCACAAAAGGTACCAGTGGTCTGAGGTCTCTCAAAAATGATAAATGCCCTACATGCTTAAAAAATTCAGAGAATTAAGGTTTCCATGGTGACTCTGCTCCCAAAAAGATGAGTGTCCATTCAGCTGCACTCGGACAGTGCTGGAGGCAGAGGTGCTGTTGGCTGGGTCTCCATCCCTTTCATCATCCTTTATTAACCTGTCTCTTCCTATTCAAGTAAATGTTAAAAATCCCTGAAAATCCAGTCTGTTCTGGCCCTTGTGAATGTGTCCTTCTCTAATAAATTCCAGGATAACCACAGTCTTGCCTCACGGGAAGGGCGTCCATGATAAAATCAACTGGAATTAGTCAGCCTGCTCCAAATTCTCACTCTGCAGCTCCAAGTCCCTGCCCTCCCCTTGCTTTCCCTAAAGCTTTAAAGCACTTTAAGGTATATCTGGAGTAGCTTTGACACTGTGTGGCCTCACACACCAGCAGTTTAACACACCCAGTCAGAGATGATGATGTGCCACACTAAAACAGGGTCTTCCTCTGAGGGACGTGGCCACTCACCGTGTCCTCCTCCATTTACGCTTCTGCCACAGGCTCTCCCAGCTCAAAATTATGTGGGAGAACAAAGACTTGCAGAGTGGATTAGGTTTTTTTTTTCCTTCTGGAAACCCATTAATAGATGATCACAATCCCTGGGGATCACCTGCTCTTTCCTTCTGCAAGGCACAGACCACAAAGCATCTCCAGGCAGTTCCTGTGTTCAGTTTGAGTAACTATTTGAGGGAAACACTGTTGTTTAAAACAGATATCTGCACTTGATGTAAAGGCTAAGTTATGGTGACTTCACCCCATTCTTTAGGAACTGAGTCCAACTCACCTTCTCTCAAACAACATTGTCTCATTTCTTTTATTATCACAGTCTTATGGTCACTAAAATGTGCTGAGCTGCTTCTTGTGGCTCTTTTATCACCAGTCCAGGAGGAAGTTGAAGTGTTTTCATAACCTGTTTTTGTAACCCAGAGAGAGTGAAATTCCAGGGTGTCAAAAAAAGCAGCTGCTAAAAGTTTAACCTTTTCAAGCACTGAGAAATTGTCCCCAAACCCCTTGTCCTGAGGGCTCTCTGGTATCACCACAGGCACCTGTTGACAAGGTTGGAAGCCCCTCAGTCTCAGAGCTGCAAGGATACAGGGGTGACAAAAATGTGGGGGAAAACAGTGTGCCCAGGAAGGACTTTCTGCCTCTCAGCAGCTTTTTCTGCTTCATTGACAGATTCTAGTCCTGCTGCTCAGAACCAGAGTTGGAAAACCCTGATGGTGGCACTGAGCTGCTTCTGGGAAACTCCTGCCTGGCCATCAGGCTGCAGTGGCTGCTGTCGACTGAACCTCAGCACGTGGTTTCCCAGAGGGGAGCTCAAGGCAATGGCAACTGTTTTATTTCCTCTAATGTGATTTTAATACAATCTTTTCCCCCCCAAAACTTCCAGTAATGTAAGCCTAAAGATGGAAGGGCACTGACATGTTATTTTCTGTTGCACTAAAAAAGTTGATCAGAGGCTCTCTAAAAACATAATTAAGACAAATTTTTTACTTCCCATCCTGGAGGGGTGTCAAACCCCGAGGTTTGGCGTGCTTGCATTTCAAAATCAAATTTCTTTTCCTTTGTACCTGCTCAGAAATGATCAAGTTCATGTGATCTTTATCTAAACCTTCCTAATCTCCTTTTGCACAAGTGCAAAAGCTGTTTTGGCTGGTTTTGATCAGCAAGATTTCAGTCTCTGAAGAGATCAGAGTCTTGAAGCCTAGAGACAACTTTTATTTAAATCCTACAGTGGACATGTGTGGTTTGGGTGTTCTGGGCAGTAATAAAACACATCCTGTGCACTCACCTCCACTTGGCATCAATGACAGGCTGGGGCAGAGTGGCTGGAAAGTTGGAAGAGGACCTGAGGTTGTTGCTCAGCAGAGGCTGAACATGAGCCCAGGTGTGTCCAGGTGGGCAAAAAGGCCAAGGGCACCTGGCTTGGATCAGAACCAGAGTGGCAGCAGGACTAGGGCAGTGGTTGTCCCTGTCTGCTTGGCACTGGTGAGGCCACACCTCAAATCCTATTCACCTCTAAACCATGTCCCAAAGCACCACATCTACAGGTTTTTTAAACACTTCCAGGGATGGTGATTCCATCAGGCCATGGGAAGGATATTAGGCACCATATCCCTGCTGGTTGCCTCTGATTTTTGGGTCCCCAGGCATGTTCCTCTCACACTTTCAGGATCTGCCCAGCCACTGAAGGCAAACTCTTGCTTTGCTTAAAAGGAAGGCTAAAAAACCCAAAGAGACCACCAAGCCCTGCAGACGTGTAAGGGCTTTAATTCCCCTCTCCCAAAGCTGCCTTGGCTTCCTCCCAAATCCTCCCCACAGAAAAGGTGGGAGACAGTGCCTTCTCCTGGGTGTGCTTCCAGGCAAGTGGGGCAGCCCTCCAACCACAAGGCAGCCACTTCCTCAGGCAGGATGGCCACAGGCTTGGGATAAATGTCTCCACCTTGTTGGCTCTGGATAGGAAAAGGGGATGATAAGCAGGCAGCGATGATCCCAGGAAGGGCCCGGCTCTACCTGGGGTCCAGCTGGAGGGATGTTCCCATGGTTATGAGGACAGGAATATCCAGCTGCCCGCTGTGTCCATGCAGGTGGCACAGTTCCCCAGAAGGAACGTGGCAAAACCCTCTCACCACCTCCACTTGGAAGCTTCTCCTCCTTGGTGGACGTTTAGCCTGTCTCTGGTACATCAGCGTTGCAATCCACGCTCCTCTCTGCTGCCAGACCTTCCTGTGGCCTCCTCCTGAGCTGTGGCACACACAGCTGGAGCTGGGAGAGGGCATCACTGATGGGAAGCCCCGTTTGTCATTCCTGATATCCCCTGGTAGGTGGTGAGCATGGAGTCCCGGACCCTGCTCGGTGAGCTTGGGGACATCGTCCGGGCCCAGGCCGAGGGTCTCCACTTCTGGCAGGATCTGGATGATGAGCTTTCCTGGAAGAGTGAGGCAGGAGGGTGAGAGAGGGGTGGTGTAGAAGGAGCAAGAGAAGATCCAGCAGGAAGATTGGTGCCTGTCAAGGAACAGGAGAGAGATGAAGGGAAATGCCCTCGTTCACACACTGAGAGTGGTGTGGGAACCCAGCCATGGCACAGGAGCACACAGAAAAAAACCACACCAGGCTTTTCCCATCCACAGGAATCACAAATACAGAAACAGGTGAATCTCTGCTCCAGTCCAATGCCATGTTTCACCTAGAATGAGTTTGCACAGTGGAAAGACCTCAGGGTTTGTCAGGGTGGCAAGGAGAAGGAGATGTGAGCACATCCAAACTGGCCACGCTCTGATCTGTGTACACCAAATCCAGCAGAGTCCTGCCTTCCAGAAACAGGCTTTGGGATGAGGGAAATTGCACCCAGGACTCCCTGGTGTGTCAGACTCCTCTGGGGAAGCACCCAAGCGATGGACTGGTGCAAACTGGAAGAATATACTGAGGAGGTGTCATCATGTTCTTCTGCTCTGGCAACAGAGGCCCTTGTTCTGGCCAGCAGAGACAAGATAGTGCCTGCACAGACACCAGACACCCACCTGGGGTTCTGGGGGGTGTTTTCTGATGTTCTTGCATGTCTTTACATGTGTGCCAGGAATGAGATCCAGCAGTGCTGGAAGCAGAGCATAGAGAAGAGTTTCACAACGGAAAAGGGTATGTCAGGTTGGACAGGGCTTGGAGCAACCTGGGCTAGTGGAAGGTGTCCCTGCCCATGGCAGGGGGTGGAACAAGATCATCTTTAAGTCCCTTACAACCCAAACACTTATCCTGTGATTCTGTGATTCTGTGATTCTGTGCTCCCTGCCTGCACATCTCCCACCCCAAGCCAGGCTGGCTCCTCACTTCACTTGGCCCTACAGAAAGGGCTGAGTGATGATGGGGCTGTGCTGTAAATTCAGGTCTGTTGGGGCAGAAGAGACTTCCAGCAAACACCAAACATGCTCCATGAACCACCAGGCACGGGGTGTGGCTTTCCAGGGGCTCATCAGCACACCCAGAACCTCTGGGTGGGCACAGTGAGCTGGCCTGGCCTGAGGACCAGCCTGCTCCACGTGCAGGAATCTTGAGCACGGGCAGCACATCTGCAGGGTGGCAAAACTTGGGGGAGGGAAAAGTGGGAAAGTGCAAGAAAAGCTGACTGGGGGTTCTGTCTCCAGCAGTGAAGGTCCTACCTGTTTAACAGCCACTTGGGAAAGAGCTCAGAGGTCAGTAAAACACGGGATTAGAGGTCAACTATCCGTGGGATTAAAGGTCAACAACTAATTATGAACTCCCAGGGTGAGGGAAGTTGCTATAAAGGCAAATGTTCACGCAACTGCAAAAAGTCTTTCCTAAAAAAGCTCAGGGAATTTGTGGAATTTGTGGAATCTCCATCCTTGGGAGTTAATCCAGACTTGTCTGGACAAGGCACAAAGCAAACTCAGCTGTCTTTAGGCTGGCCTTGCTTTAAGCAAAAGGTTCAGCTGCTCCAGGGCCCCCTCCCCACGGTGTTACTGTCTGACTTCCCAGAGCAGGGCTTTGAGCAGGGCTGTGGTGGTGGGGAGGAATCCCTGCTCTTGGTCCTGTCAACACCCTGGTGGGGGAACATTTCCAGTCCCAAAAGGTTTATGGGTGTGAGGAACAGATACAGGACGGACCCAGCAGGTGAAGGGTGAAGGGAACCAGCCAGTGCAGTGTTTATCACTCTCCCTGCCAGCTGCCTGCCTGGGAATGACTACACCCAGGCACAACAACGGCAGGAATGAGAATTCCAGATGCAAATCCTCCCCTCAGGAAACAGCAGGGCTGGCCTGGGGAAGGGTGGGAAGTGGCAGAAGCCCATTTTGGGGCTGGTAGCAGCAAAGGGAGCGGAGGAACAGGATGGAATGCTTTTCTCTCTCGGAATTTGTGACCTTTTTTTCTGCATTTTCCTTCTGAAACCCAAGACTTGTGTCATTTTTTCCCCCCATAAAATTCCATCAGCAGCAATTCTTGTTGCCACAAACGGATGAAACACGGTTACTGGGGTCACACATTCTCAGGGTGGCTTCTGCCGAGAGCTCCACGTTTGTTTTTATTTCCCAACTCCCCAGGAACCCGAGGGCAGAGTGGTGGGGCCTGGGGCAGGATCTGCCCCAAGACTCTGCTGCTTCTCCAGGTTCCCTCACATTTTCCAAGAAATCCAAGGGGAGAGGCAAAAGTGATGCCTGAAATGTCCCTTTTCCCACCAAGAAGACACAAAGTGCTGTTGTCTGGCTGCTGTCTCCTCATCACACACCTGCCCACCCACCTCATGTCTCCAAGGACTGTGCCCTACCAACACCCAGCCCCTTCTTTGCCCCAGGTCATCCTCACCTGGGGTGAATCTCTTCTCCTTCTGGTTGTAGAAGCTGTTGTAGGAAGAGAACACTACAGGAATGATGGGGACCTGGAAAGGAGTCAATCTACAGTGAATACACACATTTACAGGGAATATTCGTATTTACAATGAATTTTCACCTTTCCCCACCCATCCTCCAAAATGCAGCTGCTGTTTTCAGGTGAATTCTGCACCTTACTGATTATTATCACTGTCAGCTTCACAGTAGATATTCTGAGGGTTACTGGGGATATTTAGATCATTTAATTGTATCACCCCATGTCCTCACCGTTGGGTTTTACATTTTCATCTCTGTATTTAAGCCAACAATTGTGGATTGGCAAATTAGGATGTGCAGAGGCCAGCTCAGCAGAAACTTCCCTGGGCAGGTCCAGGGCTCTTGTCTGGATCCCCACACACACACACACACACTTTTTTTCCCAAGCTGTCAGGAAGGTTTCTGCTTTTCCCAGAAACAGCCCCCATCCTGTGCCAGCCACAAACTCCTGATGGGCTCCTGGGTGTGCTGGATCCACGGGGAAGCCAGGAAGGTGGTCTCACCTGTGCTTTCACAGCCAGCTGGAAGGCCCCACGTTTGAAGGGCAGCATGGAGCCGCTGTGGTTGCGAGTTCCCTCGGGGAAGATCAGGATGCGCAGCTGCAGGGAGGGAGAGGACACTGAGATGGAGGCACCTCCAGGTGACGATCTGAGCCACCACGATCCCCTGGGACTGCTCTGTGTGCTCCTGACCTCTGCTCCGTGGACACACAAGGCACTGAGCCCACCAGGGATGCTCTCACTGTGCCCTGCTCAGCGCCCAGCCCGGAGACAGCGATCCCTCCCCACCCGCGCCAAGGCTCACGCCCTCCAGAGGCTCCTCCCCACTCACGTTGTCCTTGTGCAGGGATTGGGCCACCTCTGTCAGGGTTTTGATGGAACCCTCCCTGTCCTTGCGGTCGATGAAGATGGTCCCCATCAGCCAGCACGCCAGGCCGAAGGTGCCCATGTACAGGATCTCCTTCTTGGCAATGGGCACGCAGCGGCGTGGCAGGATCTCCAGCAGCACTGCAAGGGGACAACAGGGGCAGGGCAAGGCGTCATCTGCACTCAGGGTTGCCCTAGGTACTGGGTTACTGCCCTCTGCCCTGGGAGATGCCATCCCTGCAGCTTCACTGACCCTTAGAGTCGCTGAGAATGAGATCCTGGGGTTCTCCAGAGCAGCCACACAGTTAGAGGAGAACTATTGCTGGCACTGAAGGAGCAGCTATGACACAGCTGTGGTCAGCTGAGAGCCTTGTCCTCATTCCTTGGGTGAACCTGATGTAGCTTGAAAGTACCTCTAATATCCTGGAGATCAGACCTGCCTCTAATACTCAGATCAGCCCTGCCTCTGATTCCCTGGAGATCAAACTTGCCTTTAATATTCTGGAGATCAGATCTGCATTTATACCCTGGAGATCAAACCTGCTTCAATACAATGGAAATCAGCCCTGCCTCTGATATCCTGGAGAACAGCCCTGCCTTTAATACCCTGGAGATCAGACCTACCTCCAGTATCCTGGAAATCAGACCTGCCTTTAATGCTCTGGAGATCAGAGTTGCCTTTAATACCCTGGAGATAAACCTGTCTCTGATACTCTGGAGATCAGACCTGCCTGTAACACCCTGGAGATCAGCCCTAGCTTGGGGCTGGCTGGTAAATGACTGTGTAACAGCCACTCCTGCCCCTCTGCCTGTGGTACAACCCACGCCTCCAAACCCCTGGGGCCAGGAGCAGGAGGCAGGATCAGCACATACCCAGAATGTCGAGGGAGGTCTGGTGGTTCAGCACCAGCACAAAAGGTTTCTTAGTCCTGAGGTTCTCCTTGCCCTTCACCACTATCTGGATGCCAAAGATGTATTTGAGTGGCAGGGCCAAAGTGCGAAAAATCCTGGAAAAGAGGAGTGGACATGAAGCAAAGGGGTGCTGAAATTTGGATGAAAGGAGCAAACACTGCTCATCCAAACCATCCCACCTCAGGCAGTGCTCCTGTTTCTCCACAGACCCAGATCTGCCCCAGCACTTGGAGAAGAGCAATTAGTGTGCCTCTGCAGCTTATCATTTCACCTACCAGGTTTCCTTCCAACCATACAAGACCAATGGCCCAACCACAGCTGCAGAAATTCCATGGATCAACCAAACAGTAAATTATATCCCAATTCACAGCACTTCTTTGTACTCCTTCCCTGCCCACCTTGCTGAATCAAACACAGGCTGAAATAAACTCTGCCCAACTCTGCTATTGCCCAGAGTGTGGAGAGAGAGAGGTTTGCCTCTAGGGGACATCAGGTTGCAGTTCTGGGAGCAATATTTTAAGAGACATCAGTAAAATGAAATAAAAAAAATAATGAAAGTCGGGCACCGAAGTAAAGAAGGGAAAAACATTTTTCAAAGCAAGAGGCTGATGCTCAGTGAGGAGACCTGGATTCCCACTGGAGCACAGGACAATTCCAGAGCCAATCCTGCCTCTGCAGCTCTTCAGGAGGGTACAAGACTTACCCTGGCATGTAGCAGAGTCAGTCCACCCCCCAAGTTCCTGGTGCCCACCCTGCTGAGGTGAGTGACTGCCAGAGCTGGGGACACCACTGCCATTGCAGTGGTGGGGACACCAGTGACAGTGCAGGTGCCAGCACTGCACTGTGGCACTGTCTGCTCATGCCCACTCAGGTGGGCACTGACTCACAAGAGAGCTGAGAAAGAGAAGAGCACCTGCAGTGGCTTTCACAACACAGCCTGGGGAGGGAATGGTCGGCCATGGGGAGGGAAATTCAGCTCCAAAGACCAGATGAAATAGTTTTAATACAAACAACGACTTACTTTACCTGTGCATTCCATCCAGGTTGTTGGCATGACCTACTCTGGCAAATCTATGTCACCTTTTACATCGTCTCCTTCCGTAATTCGTCATTTGTTCCATCAACCCGAAACCAATATTGACACTCACGCCCCTCTGCTGAATGACAGGGTCTGTCATCTCCCCACACCAACATACAACTAATTCCTCCCCACCACAGCCCAGCTCCCAGGACCCTCCAAACCAAAGCACTGGACAGAGTGGACTCTATCAGTGCCCAGAGCAGAGGGAAGCCACGGCCAACTTACGTCGCGTTCTCCACGTTCCGTCCCCGAGGAATGCTGAGGATAACAACCACAATGCTTATGGTGAAGAACCACAGCTTATAGAAGGTCATCTTGCAGAAGAATCTGAATGCAGGTTTCACCTGGTAAAGGACTAGAAACACGATGAACAGGCAGGTAAATGGGTAGTGAAGGAGGAAAAGCTCCATCCTTCCAGCCCGGAGCGTGTTCACCGAGCTGGGAACGAGTCACCAGCTCGGGGTGTTGTGGAGCAGAGTTGAGACTCCCTGGATCAGCTACATGTGGGTGGTGCAGAGCTGGAAGGAGGTTTGGGAGCGATGCTGCAGCAAGGCTGAGCTCCCTGCTCAGAGCTCAACTCAGCGTGGAAAGCCGGTTTAGCAAGGACACGCCGGCAGCTCCGGGCAGGAGTTGGGTGGCAGGAGGGGCAAACACGCAATAGCAAAGGTGCCTGGGGGCAAGGGCTGGGTGAATCTGGGCTGGTACATGCCTGGAGAGCCAGCCCCCCTTCTGGGGGGCTCTGGGAATGGCAACTCTGAGGAAATTAAAGAAAATCTCTAATGGGAGGGAGCAGGATGTGTCAGACAGCACAGACCCTACCAGAGGCACTGTGGGTTTAGATGGGATACTGGGAATAAAACCTTCCCTGTGAGGGTGGGGAAGCACTGGCACTGGTTACTCAGGGAAGCTGTGGCTGCCCATAAATCCCTGAAAGTGTCCAAGGCCTGGGTGGATGGGGCTTGGAGCAACCTGGGATAGTGGAAGGTGTTCCTGCCCATGGCAGGGGTGGAATGAGATGAGCTTTAATGTCCCACCGACTCAAAGCTGTTCCATGATTTTGTGATTCTGTAACCCCAGGCTGTCTCACTTGAGCTTCACCAAATGAGCTGGCTGCAAGATGTCCAGGAGATCAGAAATTCCTATTGAGGAGACAAAGGGAAATTACCATGGAGAAGACAAAGGGAAAACTGGTGATGCAAACACCACACATCAAGGCATCGAAGGGACCAGGCTGAGCAACCGGACATTCCTCACGTAGAGTGGGAAAAGTTGGAAAAAGTGCCACAAATCCGGACCAAAAGATAAAAAAAGCAAGAGTAGCTCCTCCCGAGGTTTTCATGGCCAGAGGCAGGCAGATGCTCAGGCAGTATTTAAATAAAGGAGGGAGTGAAGCAGGAAAATGCAAGTTTAACCTGGGACTGCTCCAACTGCATTTCATCTCCTAAAACCGCTGCCTGGAAAGGACCTTACAAGAGATGGAATGACTGGGCTGGGAAATAAACATTATGTGATTCATCATCTGCATGACAGCTCTTGCTCTAGAACTTCAGAGAAGCAACAATATTAAATAATTAATATTTTATGACATTAAATTCCAGCCAGGACCGAAAGCTGCAGATTCTAAAAAGGAAGTGCTCCAAGGACCCATGAAACCACATTGACCATCACCTGCAATCCAAAGAACAGGGTCAAGCCCTCTAGGACAATAAACTGGGCAAGACTGAGTGGCATTTCATTAAGAAACATGATGATACAGGAAGGCATTGCCCTCTGCTCCTGTGGCTAATCCAGGGACAATTCTTCTCCTGCCTTTCCTGGACAAACTGGAGAGGAGTGACTGCAGCCTCACTGCTTGGCTCTCCCAGGGCTTCCCTGCAACCACAGCAGAGGCAGCCAAAGGTTTTCCCACAGCCTCTGCACTGTCCCTGCCCCAGCACATGGAAAAGACAAGCATCCCACATCCCACAGCACTGGAACCCTCTCTCTGTACAGGTGCTGCAGGGACCAGCTCCTTTTGGAACTGGTTGATAAAGAGACCAGCTCCTTTTGGAACTGGTTTATAAAGAGACCAGCCATGGCTGCTTTGGGCCTCTCCAAGGTCTGATCCAGCCAACTGTTCCCTTCCAAATGCTGTTAACCTCTCCTGTCTCTCATCAGTATAAATTATAGCCTTTTGCAGTTGGGGGAAGGTTGATTTGGTCACAAGTGGTTCATCCTGACCTGCCAGGAGAGAGGTTCCTAAAATGTAACCCCAGTGAAAGGAGGGCAAGGATGGAAGTGGCTCCCAAACCAAGCTGTGTTCAGGTTGCTGCTGCAGGAGAAAGCTCTGACACAACCCTGCACACCCAAACTCACCCAGAATGTCTGTGGCCAGGGGAGTGTGAGAGCTCACAAACCACTCAGAAAAGCTTTAAGTCACTGACAGCAATTTCCAAAGACTTCCACAGTATCACAGAATCATTAAGGTTGGAAAAGACCTCCAGGATCATCGAGTCCAACCTGTGTCTGACCCCCACTTTGTCCCCCAGCCCAGAGCACTGAGAGCCACCAGGGAATCCTCCAGGGATGGGGACTCCATCGCCTCCATGGGCAGCTCATTCTGGTACCTGACAACCCTTTCCATGAAGAAATTTTCCCAGTATCCCACCCAAACCTCCCCTGGTGCAGCTTGAGGCCATTTCTTCTCATCCTGTCCCTTGTTCCCTGGGAGCAGAGCCTGATCCCCCCCAGCTCCCCCTGCCAGTCAGGGAGTTGCAGAGAGCAAAGATCTGTGATCTGGGGCTTCCAGGAGCTGGGAAGTGTCTCTGATGGGAAAAACCAAGCACACAAAGCAATAATAAAAAACTGTGCCATTCCCAATTCACCATGGAGACATCGTGAGCTCAGATCTGACACAACATTTGGGCTCCAAAGCCACAGGCACCAAAATCCTCAGCTGTAATTTTGGGCTGTCGCAAACACCCCCAGCACCTGGATCCGCCCCACTGCCATTTCAACAGCAGCTCTTGCCTAACCTGCCAGGTGTTTTCTGAAACTCCAGCTCTAATGTAGCTCCCAGTTTCCAGACCAAGTGTATCCATGCCCAGTTAACTCCCTTTTGCCCCTGGGTCTTCGCACCTTTTCCAGTCTGGCTGAAGTGAAGCTGAGATAGGGAGAGGAGGGACTTGCTCACACCGTGAGCTTTCATCACTCAGCTTTAATGACTCTCCTACTCCCCAGCTCTGCTCAGCCACACATTGGCCAGGAGAGAGAGGAGGAGGCAGGGAAAGGGATCTAATCTGATGGGAAAAGGCAAAGAAAATTGTCTTGTTCACAGTGAGCAAATGAAGGCTCAAACCAAAATGTAATCGTCCCTGGGAGAAGGTGCTGAGCGGGATGGACTCGGGATGGGCATCAACAGCTGCAGGTGGGAAACAAAGTGGATGAGAGGCCCTGACAGAGCCAGGAGGGAGAACTGAAATTCTGAAACCTTCAACAGAGGCTGAGCAGGACAAACAATCCCATCCCAGCTCCTGCAGGATGAACCCCCCACCTCCACCAGCCCAGGCAGGCACGTGCTGGGCATCCCTTGGCACAGTCCTGCTGAACCAGCGTTGCATGGGTTTGATCAGGCAGTTTGATCAAGTGGATAAACCAGATCAAAGTGCCCAGATTTCATCTTTGTGCTTGGCTAAAACTGGGAAAAATGGCCCCCTGTGCTTAGTGCACACCGAGGGACTGTGGGTGGGTTTGAGCCACTTCCTCCCCCCCAGGGGAACTGCTGAAGTCACAGGTAATGAGTGAGACCTCCTCTGTCACCGAGGGGCTGAGCAGACACAGGTGGGTGGGATTGGACAACTGAGAGGGCAAAACCAAAGCTGGAGAGCCCAGGACCCCACCCATCAGTGTTGACTCCCTTGTAGCTCACCCAGGAGACAGAGGGGACTTCTGCCCACCCCAGGCCATGGCTGGTGCCTTTTGCTTTCCAAGCATGCCCTGCTTGGTGTCTCCCAGCCTACACCACCCTCAGCCCCTCCACCCTGACTGGCAGCAGTTGGTTTCCATCCCTCTTCTCCCTCTCCAAGGTTCTCACAGGGACACTTCCCATTTTGGGTGTGATGAGGAGGAATTGTTGTCAAGTATTTGTTGGAACTACATCCTGCCCTGGCCCTTCCATAGTTCCATGTCACACAAGAGGTGGGGTCAGAGGTTTCAGCAAGAAATACCTCCTTTCATGAACAAAACTCAGGTGCTGGAGCTGTCTTTTCCCAGCATTCCCATAGAGATCCCACCACCATCCTCCACTCACCTGTGGCTACCACACCTTTTACAAAGTGCAAGGAACATTTTGGCCTCGGCCCAAAATTGCAGTTTATTGAGCAGTAACAGGAATATAACAGGCTACAGAGGGAGGACGAAGTAGGTTTGATCCCTTTCAGGAAAAGATATTGAGAGGACAAAGCTGGAGTGAAACCAGAGTAGCTTTTACTTTCCTGTGTGTTTGGATTGTTCTTATCTTTGCCAGGACACATCCCACCAGCTCCACAGCACAGGGTTAAGTCACTCTGGCTCGTGCCAAGCTGCAGGAAGAACTTGTCACAGATTCCTGTTGTAATGCCTTGGGCATTCTGGACTAAGGGCAAAAAATGATGGGAAAACAGCTCTCTCCATGTCTTAATTCCATATTGGAACAAAACCTGACCCAGGGCATTTTAGACAAGCCTGGTTTGGGGTGAAGGGCAGCTGTTTCTGCTTCCCTCAGGGGCACCCTGACATTAGGAGATTTTCTCTGGAAACTGAAAGATGTCTTATTTTAAACAAACAAAAATAATTGGAGAGGAAGAATCAGCTGCCAATCCAATGCCCTGGATCTTTCTGTGGGGGTTGCAGAATTTGAAAGGAGGGTCCAAACCATGTGCTGGTAAAACAGTGCGTGGTTCTGCAGACCAAACCAGCAGCTGGTGTGATTTGGAATCAGCCTCTGGATAACTCATTTCACTTGGCTTTGTGATATTGGGTGATTTCACAGATCTGGGACATCTCCTCCTGAAGTTTTTCTCTTGTTGGACTCCATCCCACTGGAAAGGCTTCGTGCAAATTAAGCTGAGTAAAGGACAGCAACAGTGCAGGCAGTGAAAGCACAAAACCAGTAAAAAATAATAATAAATCCCAGCATCTTCTGGGGAATCCTCAGTGTTCAGCATTTAAAGTCAGCAGAATCTTCTTCTTCTAGAGGAGATAAAAAGCAATGTGTTAACAGAGAAGGACCTGCCACAGCTGTGGATTCATTTCCACAGGTTAAACTGGAAAAGAGGAATTGATAACTGGAATTATGAGAGCATGGCAGGGCCTGACTGTCAGCAAAGGAAGGATGATGTTTTGTTAGCAAAAGGCATGACAGTGGAACAGTCTGTCTTTCCCAGGGGACAGCCTCTCTTCCCTAATTTTGCTTCCCAGGGATTTCAGAGAGCATTTTGGAAAGGAAAGCATTAAACACCAAGATTTCACAAATCCAGAAGGCAGAGGGAAATAATGGAAATACAGGCAAAAGCTGTACAAGCAGAAATCAAATTCCAAGATCCCTTCCATAGAGTGGGAATCTCTGTTCCAGTGAAAAGCTGCTTTTGGCCTGACCAGGATGTGCTGACAGAGAGCTCAGAGCTGTGCTACAGACAGGCCAAGCACCTGGACAGACAGACAGACAGACCAGCCTTCCCCATTTGGACATTGCTTTCTGTGTAGAAAAACATAGGAATCAGCAGCAAAGAGCTAAACTGGAAGGTCTTATAATCATAAAACATCCCACAATCCCAAAGGGGTCAGGTTGGAAGGGACCCCAGTGGGTCACTGGTCCAGCAGGGCCAGCCCAGAGCACAGGGCACAGGATTGTGTCCAGAGGGCTCTGGAATATCCCCAGGGAGGAGACTCCAGCCCCTCCCTGGGCAGCCTGTTCAGAGCTGGGTCACTGCCCAGGGAAGAAGTTCTTCCTCCTGTCCAGCTGGAGCTTCCTGGGCATCGGTTCCTGCCCGTTCCTCTTGTGCCATTGCTGGGCCCCCCCAGCAGAGCCTGGGCCATCCTCTGCCCCCTCCCTGCAGCCCCTGACACACCCTGGGGAGGGCCCCTCTCAGTGTGTGCTCTGCAGGCTGAACAGCCCCAGCTCCCTCAGCCTTTCCTCCTAAGAAGGAATCCCAGGACAGGGCACTTGGCTCAGTCTTGCAATGCCAGGGCTGGAAAATCTGCACTTTGGAGGAGCCGCTCGCAGTGCACCTGCTAAAATGGAGAGCCCAAACGTGTCCTAGGGGTGCTCCTGGCACACAGGTCCAGAGCCACGTTTGGCAGCTCTGTTTTGAGCCCCTGGCTCTGCTCCTGTCCCGTGCCTGCAGGCAGGAGCTCTGTGAGGCTCTTACCTTGCTCCTGGGTGCTCCGTGACTTCCACGGTCTGAGGTCCAGCTTTGGGATCCGACTGCAGCTCACAAAGTGCTTGGGGTACCTGTTAGCCCTGAAGATGTGCCTCGAAACTTTGGTGATGTCGGTGTTGTCACAAATGACTCGTGACAGGGAGATTTTGGTCAGTGCACAGCGTTGCCAGGGAGTGAAAACCCCGGGGTTCTCCCACCAAAACCTGCAGGAGAAAGAAGAGAACACAACAGACTTTTGCCTTCTGGCTTCCTCACATTCAGGACTCCCACATGAACACCAATAACACAGTTCTGTTGCCAAGAACAAATTCAAATTTCTGTTATTTAAATCAAGAGCCCTGACTCACCAGCTGGGTAATTTAATTTGCTTTTTTTGTGTTTGAGTTTTTTTGTGGGTTGTTTTTTTTTTATTTTTTTTTTGCCCATGGACTTATAATAAAACTGCAATTGAATTAATTGCCCTGTGTTCCCTCAGATGAGGCACAGGCTCCTCTTTCAAATAGAAAAGGCTGCACAGACTGTGGTTACAGCCACATGATTGCTGTGCTGGAACCAGCCCTGTAATTACCCAATTTTTTTTAAAAAAGCATTTTTTGCCTGCCATAAGAAGAGGATTTCTAGATGTGCAATGGACTGTTTGCCTCTAAGCTCCCAGTGCTGGGGTTTGAGCTCATCCTAAGTCTTTCTAGGCAGAACTTTTTCCCAGAAACAGGGGTTGTGATGCCATTTTCAGGCAATGTTGCTGGCAGGTACAGGGATCTTGCTTCAGAAATGCAGCTTAAAATGGGGCACTGCTGCAGCTGATGACTCTGAGCAACCCCAAGGAGGAAGAGGAATTGAGGGATGTTCAAAGCTCAACGCTGCTGAAGGGATTTTGGCTGACAAGGAAACCCCAACCCATGTCTTGGGGCAGGCAAAGACCAAACCCTGCTACACATCAGATCACAGGATTCCAGCTCAGAACTGGAGAGAAGAAACCAGTGAGAAATCACCTCCAAGACCCCTGAGAAGTACAGAAGGCACTGAGATAGACAAAAATGTGTATTGCAAGCTCAGAATTTGGGAGGTGAACAGATGTTTGACTTCTGCAGGCACAGCAGGGAGGGCACAGGAATGCTGCTGGGGAGCAGCTTGGGCTGAGCTGGGACCTAACCAAGAGAGAATATTTAACCTTTTTCTCTCCCTAAAAAGCCTGGAAGTGTGTCAGTCCTTCAGCACCATCCCTTGGCCTGCAGGTACATTTTCAAAGCTCCCCAAAGCAGGAACCTGACAGTTCTGAGCAGTTGCTTCCAGTACAATGTGTTTGGACCTGACAGATCTTGCTCTAACTGGATGAAGTCAATCCATCCAATCCATCCTGGTTTTCCCACCTGTTCTTCTTGCTAAGGTTTTTGTATGTTCCCCTTCCTGCTGGAGGGAGCTGCTGCTTGAACACACAGTGACACCTGGAGAGCACTGATGTGAGGGAGGAAAAGAGCCCAAAAACATTCACACAATCAGAAGGACAACCCAGTTTGTACAAGTAATGACTGGTAGTGAACAGGCTGAGAACGAAACCACTCGGCTGGGAAGGGATCTTAGCTCAGGATTTCAAGCATTAGACAGGGACTAACAACATCACCAGAAAGGGAAAGAAACTTTTGGAGTAGTAGTGAAAACAAGAGCAATAAACAGCTGGAAGCTTCCAAATCTGCCTAAAGAAATCTCCATGAACTCCAGCCTCTCTGTCCTTTGGGGTTGGGATCACCAGCTCCCCTCTTACCTGTCCCCATCACGGATGTTCCTGAACTGGGTGCCAATGAGACAAGCCATGAGAGGCCCAACTCTGCCTCCCTTCACAAAGGGCTCTGCAAGGGCCCCAATCCAGATGTCAATGTTCTTGGGGGTGCCATAGAGCTGTAGGAACTTCCTGGCCAGATCCTGATTCCTCAACACTTTACCAAGTGACTTCACTCCAGAAGGCTGTGAGAGCCCACAGAATCTTCTCCAGGAGTTGTAACCTGCAAGTGGTTGGGCATCAGAGACAGATCAGTAACATGTTACCACCTCCTGGAAAGATCCTATCCTCTCTTTCCCAAAGCTGGGACACAGCCAGGGCCCCAAAATATTTCAGACATTTCTTTATGTTTGTGTTAATGTCACTGACTTCCCACTCCTCCAGAGCCAGTCCCTCCTGTCTGGTCTTTCAAAGCTGATTTGAGAGGGCCGTATCTTTGCAAGGGATTTCTGCTGGTGGGAGGTGTTCCACCACCTTCCAGTCATGTTCTGTTCCACTCAACAGGGATGCAACTTCATTAAAAGTGAACCTGGACAAGATGTTGATGGTCCCTCTTTCTGGACAATGGGACAGTGGCCAAGTGCTGCCCCACAGCTGGTCCCTGTATAGTCACAGGGACAAGCCACCCCACCCCACACAGCCCAAGTTACTTCAGCCATCAGACTTTGCCAGCTGGATTAATTTTTCCTGTTCTGCAAACAACCAAAAATGCACTGGGCCACAACTGGTGCATGATTCTGCTTCTTGGTGGACAAAAACCCTCTGTTGTGAGCATGGAATGGTTTGGGCTGGAAGTGACATTAAAGTCCATCTTGTTCCCACCCCCTGCTGTGGGCAGGGACACCTTCCACTAGCCCAGATTGTTCCAACCTGGCTTTGGACACTTCCAGGGATGGGGCAGCCACAGCTTCTCTGGGCAACCTGTGCCAGGGCCTGCCCATCCTCACAACCAAGAATTCCTTCCTGATCTCCCATCTAAACCTACTGTCTTATGTCTAAAATCTGGGGAGAATGTGGAGAAAAAGACACAGCATATGGTGCGTGGATGACACCACTATCAAACAATTCCAGGAGACTGAGAGTTTGCTTCATCCAAAAATTAATTAGGAAGGTTGTTTTGACCTTGCTGTGCCATCACCACCTTTGTGGTTGATTAATTGCAGGAGTACAGTGGAACTCGGGGTGGCTGAGACCCAAATCCAACAACACATTCACCAGTTCAGAAACTCACTAATTCACAGATTCAGAAATACATGTAACTTCCACTATGGCAGCTCTGGAGTCAGAGCTAGAAACTCAGGATTTGTGGTTCAGGCAAGGTTCTGCACAACCATGTTCCTACAGAAAGCATGGAAAAATCACAGCCTTAGTGTGAACCAAGGCAGAGCAACCCTGTGACCTGGCCATGCCCCCAGGTGTGCTGCAAAGCCTCCGACTGGGCTTCAAACCCGTGGATCGAGCTCGCTTTTCCCCACAGGTTCAAAGTGATCCATGTTGCTTCCCACAGGATTTACTGACGCAGCAGCTCCAGGCACTTACATCAGACTAATGACAGCGTTGGGCAACGACCCACTAGGAGCCAGCTCTGCAGTCCCACCAGCAATGTATTTCTCAAGAGCATCTTGCAATGCCATTACGCTGGTTCTGCCCCTTGCAGGGCCCTGAGAGTGGTTCTGACACGCCTTTTGTTCTGGGACACGGTCTTTGTAGAGAAATTATGATGAGATTGTCCTTACAGGTTGGAATCTGCTCTTCCAGTCACGTGTGGCTCAACTGGACCACTACAGATGCTTGGAGAGAAGCCATGGGGGGACTTCTGGCCTTACTTCCACTCCTGCAAACTTGGTGCTGAAATACTTTACCAACTTTTCTATTTGCAAAATACGAGTCAGCCACTGGACAGCAAACTTTGGTCTGTGCAATGCCCCCTGTTCTGCCTCACATGTCTCCTCCAGCTTCATCCAGGCTCTGCCTGCATTGCTTAACCTCCACCCACTTACCCGTGGTCATCCAAAAACAAGGAAAAAATTTGGGAATGAGCATCAGAGAATCACAGACTGTCCTGAGCTGGAAGGCACCCACAAGGATCGGTCCAACTCCGAGGTAATTTCAATCAGCTGTGGGCTGGAGATGTCTCTCAGTGCCCAGGCAGAGGTGCCTGATTTCCACTCTCTTTGGCAGCTCTGCTCCCAGGGCCAGCTCACCTGGAAGGCCGTGGTCTCTGCTGCGCTGCATGTTGAGTGCGGCCAGATCAAAGCCAATCCTCTCAACCCGCTCGAACAGCCGGTCCCGGAGCTCATCCACCACCATCTGCCGCTGCGTCATCAGCTTGGCCTGGCTGGCCATCAGGTTCCGCAGGTAGGGATCAATCCCACCTGGAATGGTGACACAGGGATGTGTGAGCAGAGCAGGGAGACTGGCGGGGGCGTAACAGGCTCGAGATGGCTGAGCACGGCTTATGTTTAATTACAAACTCCTGCTACGTGAGAATCAATTTTCCTGCCCTCAAAGAATTAGAAAGTGCTTTGAATGATGTTCTTGGAGGCCACGGCAATTAAGGGATCAAACCATGAGCTCTGTAACATGATGGGCTGCACTTGACTGCAGGGACCAGCTCTGTTGGGAAAACTCTGTCTGGTTGAAAAGGTCGGTTTAATACATTTATTGCAGAGTGCTTTTAAATTTGGCTGAAGCAGGAGCTCATCCAGAGGGGGAGAAATGGCTGAGTGGGATAAACTCACTGCAAGAAAGGCTTTACCTTCTTGAATGATCCTCCACATGGCAAAGAAGGAGGTTCCAAGTCGAATTTCAGGTGTTATGGGCTTGTAACTCTTGTTTAGGCGACCCACAGTGGGGGGGATTGAAGCGTGGGCGAAGCGAAAGGCCAAGGTGAAGACGTTGGATATCCGAGGATCTACACACTCGCTGTAGCCCCGGTAAGGAGGAATCAGACTCTGGAACTTGTGTCCCAGCAGGAGAGGCAGGTAGTCCCTGTAGGTTATGATCTAGGGGGAAACAAGGAGAGGGATAAACCACCAGTGTCTTGGCCGCCAGGTTCTGCAGAAAGCAAAGCTGTTGTTCGTGTTCTCAAACGACAGGAGGTGTCACGTGGGGGCTGCCCTGACGGGATTGATGGATCTCCCCAGGGCCAACCTGCCTTGCACCTCACCACCCCTCCACCCAGCTGCTCTGGCAGCCCAGTGGGGATCCTCCCTGCCCCTGTGGAGGGACGTTTTTGTTTCTCCACAGAACCTCTTCTGCAGCTGTCCATGTGCAGCTCCGGACACGGACATGGGCACTGCCCGCACTCCCCTTCCTCCAGCCAGGCATGGAGGGATCTCCTCACCCTCTAACGCTGATGGGCTCTGCATGAACATGCAGGGAGCTGGGTGAAAACACAGCATGGGCACCCCAGGGCCACCAGGGAGCACGGACACCGCTCGTGCCTGAGCCACACACCCGCTCTGCCCCTCGACGCTCAGCACTCCTGTGTCCCCTGCCTCTGCTCCTCAAGGCTTTGATAGGTCACAGCAAGATAATTACAGATTGGACTCAGTGATCTCAGAGGTCTTTTCAACCTAATTGATCCAGAGAATGTCAAATCCTCCCAAATATTGTCTCCCATCAGCCAGGCAGAACTGCACCCTCAGATGGCAAAGATAGAGTTGGCAGCGTTGGCACAAGGGATAAAACCACCCACGGGCAGCTCTGAGAGCCCTCCAAGAGCAGAGGATTCCAAACCTGCCCTCCTGTCTCTCTGGGATATTTAGGAGGTGGCACAATACAATTAAAAAAGAGAAAAAAAAAATCAGGAGGGGAAAATGGATTAATTTCCTGAAAACTGCAGGAAGATGAAACCGTTGATGTCAACACGGTGAGTGAGATGATGCTTTTAGGACAACCTTTTGAGTCTCTCCAAGTTGCCTTACCCAACATGTTTATTCAAAAATAAAATAATATTTAAATTGACAGTTAAAAAACCTTAAACATTATGATATTCCTGCTTTTTATTGCTTGTTAAGCCAGCTCAGAAGACAAGTTTCCAACTAGGTCTGACTAATAACGCTGCCTTTGGGAACCCCATGTCTCCTTCTCATCAGCCTTTTGTGTTGGCTGTGAAACCTCATCTGGCTTTGAAGCTGGTCCTGCTCCAAACTGGAGGCTGGACAAGAGACCTGGAGAGGTCCTTCCCAGAAGGAAGCACAGAAATACTTTTGTGACCCTCAGATCACGTTCAGGGTGAAGTCTGGGGTGCAGCAGAGGACAGAGGAACACCATGACAGGCTGCACCCACCAGCACATGGGGCTTCTTCATAGAATCCCCAGAACTGGTTTGGGTTGGAAGGGACCTGAAGGATCACCTCATTCCAGCCCCCTGCCACGTGAAGGGATCCATTGGGAGGAGGAGACTCCCAGCTCAGAGGAGTTTTAATCTGAATGTCCAGTACCATTTTTATCAGGTACCAAACACTGGTTAGAAAAACTTTCCCTCTGACTTTTCTGCCTCTTTCTCAAACAAAGCAAGTGCAGTTAAAAACCACCGAGCAATTTTTGAATTTAACAGCAAAGAAACATCCAAGATTTGGATCTTGGTAGATACAGACCCCTCTGTGCATGTTGTTTCAGGGATCTCTGTGTGGTTTTGCTTTGGTTGAGTGGAGCTGGTGGAAAGAATCTGGACCTTTGCACCCCAAAACCCCACACCCTTTGGCCACCCCATCCCACCAGAGCCTGCTACGTTAGTGCTGTGAGACTGCAGGCAGAGCCAGGCCGTGGGAGATGGTACCTGGATCATGGCTCCCAGGATCTTTCGTGCCTCCTGGTAGAGCGTCTCGTCGTTCCAGTGGGGATTGAGCCTCTTCAGCTGCCTGGCCAGGCGGTTGTGCTCCCGCATGAAGAGCGTGTGCATGCAGGCCAGCTCCAGCATCTCGCTGGCTCTGGTGTCACCTAGGAGGGTCACAGCTGAGTGGCACTGCCCTGTGACTGGCTGCTTCCCACTGGAATGGGAATATCCCACTGGGAAACGTGCACAGAGCAAGTTTTAGATGTGTCGAGACCTGCGCTGTGGAGAAAACGTGGGAGAAACACAGAGGAGGAGGGGAAGGAAAGCAGGGCCTGAGCCCCCAGGATTGGGCAGCACCAGGGAAAAGCCAAATTTCTGCTGAGGCAGCAAAAGCCAAGATGCCACCATGGTTGGGCTCAACCTGGCAGAGATGGGGAAGGTTTGTTTCAGTTAATGGCTGGGAGCATTTACTTGAGGAATTAAATACAAGTAGTTGTTATTCAGGCTCTCATATCAGAGAGACATTTGGTCTCACAGTCAAGAGAAATGGAAATGGGCACAGGGAAGTCAGGAGGGCTCTAAAAGTCAGAAGGTCTCCTTCAAACCAGCTGAAACTGCGGCCAAAGCAAGATGACAGTCCCAGACAAAGCTCCCCGGGGAGGAAAAGTGAAAGCGAAATGAGTCACAACTTGAAGGCACAAATTACAAACAGCATCACAATGAAACATCAAATCCTTCTTCAAACATCTGGGGCAGGAAACCCAAGAGCAAGCAGGTGATGGGAGGATAAAGAAGCACTCAGAGAAAAGTAAATATGTCGTATTTAGTGCCCTTGTCCCATAGTAAATAGAGGGATTTGCTCCTGCTCTCAGCACAGAGACCTTTTCATCCACTGTCAAAGGCTCCCTGTGAGGGGCTGCAGAAGGACAAACAAAAGCAGCTCTGTGAGGTTTCCATGAGCAGAATTCACCCAGCCAGGGCTTCCAACAGAGCTCCAGGAGGCAACGCTGAGCCCTGGTGGGCGACTGCACATGAGAAATTCCCCCAGTTCTCAGGGGCCGGAAAAGTCACAAATAAGACACTGAATTTTCAAAAGCGCTTCCGAACCAGCCGGAACTGCTGGCCATGAATGCACTGATGGGAATGTTCCAGCTGTGGGACAGGAGCTGCTCCTGCAGTCCAGGGGGCTGGAAAGTACCTGATATTTCCACCCTGGAAAGTATTTGATATTCCTGCTCTGCTCCTCACTGGGTATCTGTCTTTGGCCATAGGTCCTGTGTGGTCCTCAACGAGGAGGGACCTGTGTGGAACTGGGGGAGCAGGTGAAGACACAGAACAAGAGATGGGACAGACACAGAGGCGTGAGAGGGTGGAGGGAGCACGAAACACCAAAAACATCGGAGGAGGGAGCTGCAGGATGGCATCAAGCAGAGGTGTCCCATTTGTTCCGTCACCAGGTCCTGATGGTATCCAAAGACCTTGGGGATGCTGCACAGAGGAGCTTGGAAGGGAAAGAGGAAGGGAAAGAGGAAGGGAAAGAGGAAGGAAGAATGAATAAGAAAAGCCTAAAGAACCACCCTGAGCCGGTGGAATTGTTCACTCTGGTTTTCAGGCCAGGGGTGAAAACACCCAACTTACCTGCAAAGAAGCAAGGGATCCGAGCTGCCCCACTGGCCTTGAGACAGGGCTCCTTCCTCATGGGCCCGAAGGGCATGTAGGCCCTGCCCCTGTCGGTGAAGTTCTGGTTCACAGCCAGCAGGCCCAGCCCGCGGCTCCGGTCCCGCAGCCGGCTGGCCACGGCCACCTCGCTGCTGTACACCACGCTGCCGTCCAGGAACGAGGTGAGCGCGTTGATCTGCTCCCGCACCCCGCTGCCCGGGCTGCAGGCAGGGGCAGAGCGGGAGAAAGGCAGGCAGTCCCTCCTGTTGGTGATCCGGGGGTCGTTGGGTGGGATCTGAGGGAAGGGAACGGGAGAATCCGTCAGCAGGAGTGGGGCACAGCCCTGGCAGAGCCGTCTCACAGGCAGGGTGCAGATCAGCCATGAAGCCTGATGTGGAGGGTCAGACGGACGGCAGAGATGCTGCTTTCAGGGTCCAAATCCCAAACAGCCTGGAGACACTTAGAATTCCATAAAAGACCGCCCCCAAGAGTCCTGAGAGTGTCTCTGTGACTGTGCCTGACACCCAGGGACAGTTCCCAGGGCTCAGAACAGGGGGTGCTCTGACTCCCTTGGCCAGCTCTGGGATGTTCCCCCATGGCCGAGGGCTGGGAGAGCCACGACCATCTCCCTGTGTCCCCTGGAAGGAGGCTGGCTGTACCTGGATGGGGAAGCAAGGAGGCTTCTTGGCACAGCTGGTGTCACAGTCTATGTCACCATGAAAGCTGACCCTGGCTGGGGTTTCTGGACTGAAATCCAGGTCGTGGTCAATGAACTGCCCCCACTGCATGAACATGAGGGACCTGTGCTGGTCCAGCCGCAGCCGCTCCGGTGGGAAGCGAACGATCTCGTTGGACACCCGCCGGACCTGCAGGGAGGGAGGCAGGACACAAGTGTGGGGAAATGACCTGGACAAAGGGGTGCACCAGGTCATGGGGTCATCAGCAAAACTCTACAAGGCATTTTTGTGCTTCATAGACAAAAAAACCCCCAAATCTGTTGGTGCTGGAAGGTGTCACTGAGTGTCCCTTCACTGAGCGCTGCTCTGCTCTGGCTCTAGGCAGGGTTCTGAGCCCCTAGGCCAGGACTAAACCCTGATGGACTTAAGGAAGCAGCTAAGCAACCCTGGCAAAGGGAGACAAAGTGAATTTTAAAAGACATTTTTTAAATAGAAGTGTGGAAAAAATAGTCCCTGGGAATTTCTTAGGTTATTCCAAGGCTGCCTTCCCTTCTTATCTTTTCCCCACCCATGACAATTCCCACACCAGTTCTTCCTTCATTTATTGCTACACAAAAAGTGGGCACTGTGCTGTGGAGAAGGGTTAGGAGGTACAATGGGCAGATGAGCACGAGGCACAACCCAGAAAGTCACCAAGCTCCTCATTAGTGCCCCTGTTGCCTCAAATCCAAGTGACCAAAAACCACATCACGGTGTCCCTGCTCCCACCCAGGTGCCACCAGAGCCACACCCCCCCCAGATCTCCCACCCAAGGGAACCCCACAGAATTTGTGGCCTGATATTTTTAATTCTGGGGATTCCCTTGCTCCCTTTGTCCTCTGGCATGTTGCTTGTCAGGAGACAACCTGCTGCCACCAACCGAATCAAAAAGGTGGATGAAATAATTTGGCTTAAGTGCACTCTGTTTAAAAGAACACATTGCTTGATTCTTTCTTCATCCTGTGCTTCTGCAGTAATCAGATTGATTTTGCTTTGCTTTTTCTGAAGGCTGGAAAGCCCTTCTGATGGATCCCCCTGGATGTTCTCATAGGATCACCCTGCAGCTGACGAATCCAAGTTCCTCCTCCTGATGCCCCACTCCAGCTGGTTGATGATCACTTTGCTGCCTGTGACCTGTCCAAGAACTGACAGTGCCCAGGCCCTGATGTGCACTCTCAGGTGACTGTTACCAACATTACCAGGGGAAGAGGGAATCCAGAGAAGCGCTTTCCCTCTGTCCACCCACGGGGGATGGACACGCCGTCCTCGTATTGTGCTGGCAGCCACCTGGCCAGGGCTCTGTTGGAGGCTCCTAGGTAGGGGTGCCTCCTGTCAGAGGGGATGGAAGGAGAGCAAGCAGTTAGTGTCACCAGGATCACGGCAGAGCCAAGAGCTCGTGGGTGTGGAGACACCTGGATCTTGGAATGGGATCGGACAACAACGGTCCGGGAGCTGCCGCACCAATAAACCTCAGGATTAATAATGATGACAACAATAATCATAGAACTGTTTAGGTATGAAAGGACCTTTAACAATCCACTCAAGCCTCAGTTTCTCCCAGGCAAGAAGAACTCAGTCTGCTGGTGATTCCTTATGTCATCCAGCCTGAAGAAGGGCCCTCGACCTCAGACTGTGGGTGGAAACCAAAGTTGGAGGTTTAATGCCAGGGAAAAGGGGCAGAGGCTTCTGCCTGTTCAAGAATGGCATTACCAGAGACCTTGAATAGAAACTGGGGGATTTGGATTGGGAGTTCTCCTGTGCTGTGTGGTTCTTTTGAAGGCCATCACTGAATGGTAATCGCTGGATGGTGACTCCACCACCTGGGCAGCCCCTTCCAGCATCTGACATCTCTTCCCATGAAGAAATTCCTCCTGATGTTCAACCTGAACCTCTCCTGGCTCAGCCTGGGGCCGTTTCCTCTTGTCCTGCTGTCCCCCAGCCCTCCAGCTCAGCCCCTCACCTGTTGTTGCACTGGCCGGTGATCGTTCGGTAGCGGGAAGAACCACAATTTATTTTCTTATCCTGTTGATCACATCCACTGGCCTTGAAAATCATGCCCAGCTGAGCTGGAGTCAGCAAATCTGCCAGGGAACAAGGGGAAACAAGCCCTCAGGAACACTCTGGCCGTGCTGGGTTTGAGGTGCCTCCCAGGCTTAGGGAAAGGTTTTCCTCCTTGTACCCTTGGAATGGTTTCTTGTCACAGCATCATCTGCACAACCATCTGCAGGTTGTTTAAGACCTTCCTGCTCAAAGAAGTGCTGAGGAGCAGCAAAGCTGCTCTTTCTGGCTTGGAAAGCATCAGACCCAGCAAAGCTGTGGTCAGATCTCATTTATAATTACACACGAGGCCTGGGCAGGAGCAGAATGATTTTCTAGCATTGCTTTGTCCTTCCTCTCCTCTCCTTTTTTCTCTCCACCATAAAATGCAAAAAGCTCCAACCTGGCCTTGGACACTTCCAGGGATCCAGGGGCAGCCACAGCTTCTCTGGGCAACCTGTGCCAGGGCCTCCCCACCCTCACAGGGGAGAATTTCTTCCCAACATCTCATCTAAATCTCTCCTCTTTTAGTTTAAAATTGAATTCCCCCTTGTCTTGTAACTGTCTGACAGTGTAAAAAGTCTCTCTTCCTCTTTCATAAGCCCCATTTAGGCCCTGGAAGGGGCTCTCAGGTCTCCCTGGAGCCTTCTCTTCTCCAGGTGAGCATCCACAGCTCTCCCAGTCTGGCTCCAGAGCAGAGGGGCTCCTTCTCTGCCCTTGCTGCTCACACAAGTCCTGAGTCCCTCACAGGTTTCCTGGTCGCTGCTGCCACCAACAGTTTGGGTCATGGAATGGTTTCAGGAGCCTCTGGGCTCGCAGCTGAGAGGTGGCAGCCAGCTGGCCTGGCAGGTCTGTGCAGCATCATTCCTGGATGGAGAGGCTGGAACTGAGCACCACCAGCCCTGCCATCCTCTTCCAGCTCACCCCATCCTGGAGCAAAGCTGGGACACCCCAAGATGTGTGTCCTGGCCTGCCAGTGCTTTACTGGAACGCTGGGGAAGTGCCCAAGGCCAGGTTGGGCAGGGCTTGGTGGGAGGTGTCCACGGTGGGGGGTGGAACCAGATGAGCTTTAAGATCCCTCCCAACCCACTCCATGACCCCAGGAGTTCATCTTACATGGCTGGAGCTCTCCCTGTGCCTCCCTGAGCTGTTTCTCTTCCTACCCTTAACCTGCCTCCTGCTCTCAGCAGCCTGGCCTGGCCAGGGGACCACAGCTCCACCTCAGGGAGGACACTGCTCCTTCAGACACAGCTGAAATGTCCTCTCACATCTCCCCATTCTCCATTTGGGCCTTCTCCAGCGTCCTGTCCCTGGTGCAGCACAGTCTGGCAGTGACTTTGGTGCTGGCTGAAGTCTGGCAGAAAAGCTGCCTTTCTTGGGGTTGATCTACTTTGAGTCACATCTCTGGGTTTGCTCATTCCCAGCTCAGGCAGAAGAATAATATCTGCCAAAGCCCTTCAAGCCTTGACCCACTGGTCCATGAACCTTTATACTGCAGAAAGAATCAGGAACGTGCCCAAAACACTTCCATTAACTGATAAACCTCCAAATATATATATATATATATTTTGTTTTTAATAGAAAGAGAGCAGAGAAAAATAACTCAGCTTTGCCTCTCTGCAGCCACGTGGCAGAGGTTTGAGTCGTGGCCCATCACAATCTGCTTTCCTTCCCTCCTCCCAGGCCCCACAAAGCCCCAGTGACTGAGCCCTGTGTCCTCCTCCTCTGCCTCCCTCCCAGCACAGGGAGATCCCCACCTGTGACGTTGAAGTCCCCCCTCACAGCCCATCTCAGCTTGTCCTTGAGGAGGCTCAGGGTGGTCTGCACATAATCTGCCGCCCTCACGGCCGCCCGGGTCCCCTCCACGGGCTGCTTGAAGTACCTCAGGAGCTCTGCTGGGGTCAGGGCGTCATTCTGCAGGTGCTGCTTGATGCTGCAAGGGAGAAGAAAACAGAACCTGACCTGGGGCAAGGCCGGGAGTGCTGCAGGTTCCACATCTGAGCTCTCCTGATGGGACCCTGCTCTGATCTGGAAAGGCAAAGTCACTGGGAGAGGCCAGGGCTGCTCCCACCACCCCTGACAGAGCAGCAGAGGGAGCTGCAGGAAGAGAACCTCTTAATTTGCCCAACTCCACCTGCCAGAAGGCAAATTTTAGGTCTTTGCATCCTTGAGGCACCCAAAGCTCGCTTGGTTGTTATCCAGACCAATCAATACCTACAGGTGTCTCCACCCCAAGGTCCCAAAAGTCTCCAGGTCACCCTGTCTTAAAGCTGCTGGAACCTCCTGTCAGCTGGAGGGGTCCCCAAGCCAGCAATGGGTTTCAGAGTGTGGCTGCAGCAGGAGGACAGCTACGGGCTGGTGGGAAACTGGACACTCCCAATCCACGGCTGGGAGTCCCACAAAGTGTCCTCACTGCAGCCTTTTGCTGTGTCCACGGAGGGAACCACTTGAAATCAACACCTGGCACCACCTCAGAGCCCAGCACAGCATCAGGTGATGCTGTGAGGGTGGGCAGGCCCTGGCACAGGTTACCCAGAGAAGCTGTGGCTGCCCCTGGATCCCTGGAAGTATCCAAGGCCAGGTTGGCACAACCTGGGCTGGTGGAAGGTGGGGGTTTGAACAAGATCTCAAAGTCCCTTCAAGCCAAACCATTCTGTGATTCTGTGCACACCCAGCTGGCAGGAACAGCCTGCAGGGGGAGGTCGCAGCTCTTGGTGCCCCCGACAGCCTCAGGGACACCAGGCTGAGCAGGCAAACCCTGGCTCACAGCCCTCTGTGCTCCACAGCTCCTCAGGGTGCTCAGGGAGGAGGAGGAGCGGGTGGAGGAGCAGTGCAGGGGTCACACAGGGGTCACAGAGAGGTCACAGAGGGGTCACAGCCCCAAATCTCACCGGTCCCGCGTGCGCTTGTAGGCGGCGTCCACCAGGTGCTTGGCCTCGGCCACGCTGCTCAGGAGGGACGTGTCTGACAGCTCCTCCAGCACATCTGGGGGGGCACAGGGAAGGGCAGAGTTGAGGGTGCGTTCAGGACCCCTGTGCTCGTGTCTCCAGCACCCGGGGATGGGCACAGCAGGGCTGGAGGCAGGTGCTGCTCCCTCCCGAGACCTCCGGATGGAAATAAATTCCTCAGGGGGGTCTGACAGCTGCTCCTGGGCATGAAGAGGTGTCTCCAGCAGTGGAGGCTTCAAACAGCCACGGTGAGAGATGCAGGCACCATCCCTCCTGCTGTTTCCCACCTCTGGAGGTGTCCAAGGCCAGGTTGGATGGGGCTTGGAGCAACCTGGGCCAGTGGAAGGTGTCCCTGCCCGTGGTGGGATGAGATGAGCTTTAACATCCTTCCCAACCCAAACCACTCCACAATTCTGTGATTCTATAAACAACCCAATTTCCCCATGGCTTTCTCCATGCAAACTCCTGACACCCTCACTGCTCCCCTTCCTGCCTGGTGGGGGGGGTGTTCCCAAAAATGAGTTTCATCCCCATCATCTGCTTGGCTGTGGGGCACAGAAAGAGAGGGGACAGGCCCTGGTGGGCTTCTCTGAGGGACAGCACTTTCCTACATCTTCCAGGGAGAAAGAAAACATCAGAAAATCACACAGAGAGGGGGTAAATATCTCCAAAAACTCCCCAGAAATTTTAAAATATCTTCCCCTGAACAACCCAGAGTTTATCTCTTGGGTGATGCTGATGAGAAAAATGATTGCCTGAGCCACCATTTGAGACAAATGAAAGGCCCAGGCACGTGCCTTGACACTGTAAATTAACAGGTGGGGTTCTCTAGATGTTTTAGAGCAGTGATCCAGGACTGGAGGAGAGAACTGACAGCCCCATCCCCAAATTCCACAGGCCCTGGAAGCTCAGGGGTCAAGGAGGGAGACCCTCATTCCTGAGAACTGAGCTCCTTTAACCTGATTTAAGAAACCAGGTAGGCCATGAACTGGTAAAAAAACCCGGGATTGCTGCCACAGGAGGGGACAAACTGTGCTCCTTCTGACACCTCATCAGGGCTCTGCTGCCACAACAGAGCAATTCAGGCTCTTCCAGGCTGAACTTTTATCTTCCCTGCTCAGAAATCCCCCTGATCTGCAAAGCCTGAGGGAGGGACTGTACCATGGGAAGAGGATGCAGGTGCCTGGAGGAGGCTGAGGATCACCAGCAAGCCCGGGGAGGTTCCTGCCTTCATCCCTGCAAAGAAATGCAAGTGAAGAAGAGCCTGTGGATGGGAATTTCCATGCCCACACTGAGGATGCCATGGGGCATCCCCTTCCCAGTGCAAGGGATTGAGGGGATTGTGCCTGCCTGGGAGGTCCTTTTAGTGCCACATGGGGACCTCAGGTCCCCATGTGGCACTAAAAGGACCTCCCAAGCAGGGAAAAAGGAGCTGCCTGCTGTCCTGGGGATTCCCATCACTGCTTGGGAATTGGGGGCAACAAAAAGGGAGCAGAACACTCTGCCAGTGCAGCTTGGCAGGGAGCTGGGCAGCAGCACGGGGAGTGCAGGGGGCTGGAAGAGCTGGAGGAGAAAAGAGGGAGCAGCCAGGTCCTCCACACGCAGAAAATTTGGGATGTTTTTGCGCTACAGAAGGAGCCCACGGCCGCTCACGGCTTGATCCTCAAAAGTAGCCCAGAATCCACCCTAAAACTCCCAGCTCAAGCCCTATCCCTGCGGAGCCAGCCCTGAGCCACCTACCCAGCCAAGCGGGAATCACAAACCTCAGCTGGACCCTTCCACCCCAGGGCACAGAAACGAGTCCTGGCCGACCAGAGGAGCTCGTGTGCCCCGGGCAGGCTCTCAGCCCTGCGATGTGCCACGTCCTCCCCCTCCTTCTCCGTGTGCCAGGCTTTTATCTGCCCGGCGTTATCTGCAGGGGTTGACCCTGCCTTTGGGAACCTCCCCTCCTCAGTGTGTGAGGCCGAGACAGCTCAGTGTTATAAGTTAGTATAAGTTAGTATAAGAATTTAGACAACTCAATTCCAATTAAACATAGATAAGTTTATCAAGCAAGCGATAATAAAGCAAAACAGCGCTGGGTGGCCTGGAGGGCAGTGCCCTGCCGAGGCACACAGCGAAATGAAGTCAGGGTCTCTTTTTATACACGTTGGTGGTTCTTAAGTACATGTTAAGTGGTGTCTGGCATTGGCTTTTCGGATGTAAATTTGTTTGTGGCTTGAGTTCGGTGGCTGGGTAAGTGGTCGTCTGGTATTTGTCAGAGATGAAAAGGTGCAGTTCTTATCAGTTGTTTATTGACGCTTGATTAGCAAGCTGTCTGTGAAACTCCTCTTGTTTAATTACGACAAAAAGTTTCTGACTCCCTCATACACATAAGGTTTTATAAACAAAGTTAACCCTTCTATTACATCAGCACCCATCCCAGCACCCACCCCAGCACCCACGGCATCCCCTTACAGGGATAAGATTCCTTACCTACTGGTGCTCTTCATCCTTCCTTTTTTTCCCAGATCCCAAGGGTGCTGCCCAGCACTCCCCATCTCACCTCCTGCTCTGTGTCCATTGTGATCTGGAGGGATCCGTGGATGCTGTTCCTTGTGCACTTCCCTGCAGCAGGAGGAGGCCCCTGGGTGATGTTTTGAACAGGTGCCACCAACCTCCAGCTGCTGGTCTGGAGCAGGGTCTCACCTTTTCCCAAACTGCTGCTGCGCTGGGAAGTCACCTGGCAAAGCATCTCCTCTCCCTGTGGCCGAAGCCCCTCTCCCTGTCCGAGTGCAAATGGACAAATTCACCCCCAAATCCGGGCTCCACCATCCCTGTCCCCAAATTTGGGCTCCACCATCTGCATCCCAAAGGTGGCTTCACCATCCCTGTTCCCAAAGCTGGGTTCCACCATCCTTATCCCCCAAACTGGGTATCAACATCCCTGTCCCCTAAACTGGACTCAACCATTCCCAGCCCCACCATCCCTGTCCCCAAATCTGGGCTCCTTGCAGGTGCAGCCTTGCACTGCCACTGGTCCTGCTCCTTCAGTGTTTCAGAGAAAGTCAGCCAAGCAAACAGCAAATCTCGTGGCGAGGCTGGTCCTGTTTGCAGACCTACAATCTAAAACTGGTTTTGACAAACTGGAGGGAACCCACCTGGAGCCCAGGACACAGGAGAAAGCTGGGTTTGGTCAGCCTGGATGGAGAAGGCTCTGGGAGCCTCACCATTGGCCTTGGCTGTCTCATGGGAGGGCTGCAGGCAGAGCCAGGGGCTGCTCAGGGTGCACAGGGATGGGATAAGAACCAATGGCACATGGTGCTGCCAAGAAAATTCCCAAGAAACCCCCCCATGAGGGTGGTGCAGTGCTGGGATGGGGCCTGGCATAGAGGTGGGATCTGCATCCTTGCAGATGGAGCTCACTTGAGTAAGACCCTCAGCAACCTCCCCTGGCCTTCAGGGTGACCCTGCTGTGACCAGAGAGTCAGGAGGTGCCCACACCCCGCCCCTGTCTGTGTTTGAGACAGGAGCAGAGGAGCTCCTGAGCTGCCAACAGTGGCACAGCACCGGCACAGCATCAGCACAGCACCAGCACCAGCCCCAGCACCAGCACAGCATCAGCACCATCACCAGCACAGCACCATCACAGCACCAGCACCATCACCAACACAGCATCAGCACCAGCACAGCACCAGCACCAGCACAGCACCAGCACCATCACCAGCACAGCACCAGCACCAGCACAGCACCAGCACCAGCACAGCACCAGCACCATCACCAGCACAGCACCAGCACCGGCACCATCACCAGCACAGCACCAGCACCAGCACAGCACCAGCACAGCACCAGCACAGCATCAGCACAGCACCAGCACCGCACCAGCAGTTTGCACAACAGTGACCACAGCTCTTGTGCAAAGGGGCAGAGCCAGAGGGTTTCAAAGCCACCACCTCAGTCCTTCCCCTGCAGCGTCACCACCACTTAGAGGAGGATTTTTCAAAGGCTCCTGAGGCAGTTGGTGATATCAGAGCTGATAACTGAGTGTCACAGTGAGGGATGTAATTCAGAGAATCATGGAGTGGTTTGGGTTCGAAGGGACCTTAAAGCTCATCCAGTCCCACCCCCTGCCATGGGCAGGGACACCTTCCACTAGCCCAGGTTGCTCCAACCTGGCCTTGGACACTTCCAGGGATGGGGCAGCCACAGCTTCTCTGGGCAACCTGAGCCAGGGCCTGCCCACCCTCACAGGGAAGGATTTCTTCCCAATATTCCCTCTAAACCTGCCCTCTGTCACTTTGAAGCCATTCCCATTCCCCCTTGTCCTGTCCCTCCATCCCTCGTCCCAAGTTCCTCTCCAATTCTCCTTGAGCCTCTTTAGGCTCTGGAAGGGGCTCTCAGGTCTCCTTGGAGCCTCCTCTTCTCCAGGTGAACCCCCCCAGCTCTCCCAGCCTGGCTCCAGAGCAGAGGGGCTCCAGCCCTGGGAGCATCTCTGTGGCTCCAACAGCTCCATGTCCTTGTGCTGTTGTTCCCAGGGCTGGAGGCAGCTCTGCAGGAGGGTCTGTGGCATCACAACCCCCCAAGGCATGGGGGGTTTCTGGGCTGGGTCATGTAGAGCTTTTCATCCACCAGCACCCCCAGCCCTTCTCCCGGGGCTGCTCTCCCTCCCTTCTCACCCAGCCTGGATTTACACCTGGCACTGCCCTGACCCAGGTGAACCACATTGTGCTTGGGCTCCCCGAGCTTTGCACAGCCCCATCTCTCCAGCCTGTCCAGGCCCCTCTGGATGCCCCATCCCTTCCCTCCAGTGTGTGACAGCACCCACAGCCCGGTGGCACCGGGACACCTGCTGGGGCTCCATGGATCCCCCCCGAGAAACACCACTCCCAACTGCTCTCCAAAAACACTGCCCTCAAACTGCTTCACAAACCATGACAGTGGGAGGTTTGGGAGATGCTTTGTCTCCTGAATGTTCACTTTCCCTGGAGACCATGGTCCTGCTCCCAGATCACGGTGTATGGGAAAGGCCGTGGCTCTGGCTGAGCAGAAGCTGAGCACCCACACAAGCACCAGACCCTTGTGCTCCTCACCTTGTGCTCAGAGGAGAGATCAGGTGCTGCTCCTCTGGAGTATGGAAACAGGAGGTGCCATCCACCCCTGGGCACAGGGATTAAAAGCAGAGGATGCAAAGCAAAACACCTGAATTGTATTTGCATTTTACCTTTTTCTGTTTTGTTTCCTTTTTTGCCTTTTGTGTTTAGCTACAACAGCCTGAAGGTCTTACACCTTTCTCAAGGAGACTTCTGTGAGCTTTGCTGTGCAGCCTTGCCTGGGGTTGGGGAACCAGCAGAATTAGGGAGACTTTGCTAAAGGATGGGTCTGTGTCTGTCACAGCTGCATTTTCCTGGAGGCAGAGAGACAACACATGCCTGGTCACAGCTCAGCTGAGGAGGGAGGATGGAAGCACTGAGAGAGAGGGAGCCAGGCAGGCACCACCTTCAGACATGGACCCAACTCTGGGCAGACCCCAAAACCTTCCAGTTGCTTCTTCTCTTCCTAAAGCTCCTGTTCTTCAGTTCATGCCCTGATGAACTGATAAAAGCAACGACAGTTTCTTTCAAAAGACCTCCAACAACTCACTCAGGAAACTCCAGCTGGTAAATTCAGTTAGAGAGGCAACCCACTTCCCCAGGGGGAGGGCAAGTGCAGATAAAGAACTGGGTCACTGAGGAGTTTCATCACTGAATTCTGCCTTGGGAACTCCCTCAGAGCTGCAGCAGCTTCATCACTCCACAGCCTTTGGTCTGTCCTTCCCTGACTCCCATCCACCCCAGGCCCTGGTGTCTCACTGCAACATCCACATCCTTGTCCAGCAAAGGAGCAGCAGCTTCCTAAAGAGTCCCTCCTGCCATGGGAATCCTGGAGAATCCCCACCAAAGCTCAGAGGGACTTTTGCCAGCTTGGCTGGATTCCCAGAGGCTCAAGGTGCAAGGGCACTCCACTGCCCCAATGTTTGGGCACCAGTGGCCTTTGCAGAGCCCCCACAGAGCCCAGTCCCAAGTGTCCACCTTTCCACTGGTGTGACCACGAGGCATCAACCACCCAGTGAGCTGCAGGAACAAGGTACAGAGCCAAGAGCTGTGGTCTGACCTCAGAGCTTTTGGGATTTCCTTGGGTTTCCCTCTTTTAGCCAATGATGTGTAATTGAAGCTGTTCCAGCTGGTGGAGAGGGCAAACCCACCTTTTTCTTCTCCTTGCAACCATCTCTGAGCAGTTGCTGGCAGTGCTTGGACAGGTCCTGCTGGCTGGACAGGGCAGTCACTGGGAGCATCTCTGGGGCCTCCTCCACCTCAGCCCTGTGCCCTTCCCACCCAGGGGCACCACACACGGGTCTGTCCCCCTGAGAAGGTGACACAGAAGGTGCAGAACATACCATGACTGGGATCATTTCCTCCTCTGCCCTCCCCAAATCCCCCCGAAGAAGCACCACAGAATCCTTGGCTTTTTTAAGGAAAATGTATTTCTGTGAAAATAGACTTTATTATAATAAAATTTGATATTAAATAAAAACAAACTGTACCACCACTGCTTGTGGACACTGTGCTGGCACCACCCACGGACCTCACCTTCCAAAAACAAGGAACTGGAACATGCAACGGAGGAAACATGGGAAAGGGCAGGAACCATGTGGTACAAAACCCTCTGTGGCTTGGAAAGGGATGTGTCTGAGCTCCAGGAGCACATCATCTCCCAGGAAAACAGCTGCAAACTCTCTCCATCCCTCCCCCAGCCCCGCTCTCCCAATGCTCCGGGCTCAGGAGCAGCCCAGGAAACAGCCCAAGGGAACCGCGGGAAGGGAAAGAAAGAAATAAACAAACAAATAAATAAATAAATAGAGAAATAAATAATGACCTCAAGAAACCCATAAATAAACAGATAAATAAATAAATAAATAAATCATAAGGCGGAGGCCCCAGCCAGGCCGTGGTCAAGGTGCACCAGGCGGGAGCAGCTTCCCAGCAGCCCAAGAACCCACAGGCTGAAATCCCGACTCCCACTCTGCTCTTTCCTCCCCGGGAATATCCTGGTGCTGGATCCTGACTGAGGCAGTGTGGGATGCTCTAGGCACAGCTGCGTATTTACAGGTTACAGTACAAATCAGAACTCACTCGTCAGCCCAGAGACAGCAAAGGGGAGAGTCAGGGGACAGAAAAGTGCAACTTTTCTTGGCGGGAAGTGAAGGAGTTGCCACGAGCTCCTTTGGAGCAGAGAAATACCAGGGGGTGGAGTACAAGGGGTCTCTTCCTAAGGGGCTTTGCTGGGAAAAGCCAGTTAGCTAAGTTACAGCCAGAATAGAACCTTGAAATGAAAATATTTACAGGGAACCAGTGCATGGAGGGAGCTGCACCCCCAGAGCTCAGCCCTCACACCCCCAGAGCCACTGCCCCACCCCAGGGGGGGCTCTCAGCAGGCACAGCTCCCACACCCACTCCACAATTTCCTCAAGTCACGCTTCTCCCCTAGGAAAATAATCAGCTTATTGCAGGGGGTTTCTCCTGAACTCTCAGTCTCTGTGCAGAATAACCCCCGTGTTAGTTTTTCTTATTGGACCCAAGTTTTTTGAAGAGGTTTTTCCCTTTGAAGAAGAAGCTTCTCTTCTTTTTACTCTGCCCAGGGCTGTCGCTGCGGGCGAGGAGGGGCAGCGACGCCTGCTCTGGACACGGGACAAGGCAGGAAGGTGGTGGAGAAGGAGGAGTTGGTGAGGAGTCACTCTGATCAACACATCCATCTGGGTTTAGCTGGGGTGGGGGGAAAGAGAAAACAAAGAAAAAAGCAGAAGTTAAAGCTGCTGAAGGATGTCACACCAACATAGGCTCTGACTTGAGCCTTCTCCCCACCAGTGTCCTCTGGGAAGGTGCAGGTCCAGTTAGGATGTTTGCAGTGGATTGAAATGATTGTACCCACGGCCCAGGCCCTGCCTGAGCTCTGACATTCTGGAATTCCTGAACTTTGGGCTAAGAACAGGAGAGCAGAAAAGCCCCACTCAAGACCTGATGCTGCTCCCCAGCTGAGTAAGCAAAGCAGCTCCCGAGAGCGCGGATGGAGACAGGCACTGATGCATCCATGGATCCCTGGGCCAGGGAGCCTGGTGGGCTCCAGGGACAGAAGGCAGGACATTGCCAAAATCAAACTCCCTAAGAACAAGGGCTGTGCAAGACCTAAGGCAACAGGTTCCTGCTCTGCAGATTGAAATTCAGAGCCAGTGCAAGGGAAGCTTTGTTGGATCTCTGGCACAGAGGATTGGGGATAAACGGGAAGGTCAGAAGGGAAGGCAAGGCTGAAACGTGGCTATTTTATATGGGTTGTTTTAACACGCTTAAAAGGCATTTCTGTTTTAAAAAGTGTCATGAAACACAGGAAAAGAGCTTCCAGCCTTCAGCAGGCAGGGATATCTGGGCCAAACTGCTGCATCCAGGGGATCAGTCGCCCCTGAGCAGCCAGAGCAGGGGAGGCCCTGCCCATGCACCACAGGAAACCGCTTCCCTGGCAAAGGTGGAACACTTTTCAGGGCAGATCTGGTGGCCCAACAGACAATCTCTCCTGTAGAGTTGTGGATGAAAGGCCCTGTGCAAACTGAGAGGCAACTCACAGTCACCATTATTTACTGTAACAAGGACACTGCAGCATCAACATCATTATCAAATATCAAACAGCTCCAAGGCAGTGTCCTGCCTGTGTGGCTGGAGTCCCATCCTGCTGACTCCCAGCTGTGGAACAGGATGCCCAGGCAGTTCCACACCTGAGACACTCTCTCCCCACACAGCCACCTGCAGTGGTCTCTACGTGGCAGAAAAGCAACAGAACCAGTTCACAGAAATCACCTGCTAAGAAACAAATGATACTAAAATTGGGGGGTTCTTCTCCAAGAGAAAAAAATAAAGGAAAAAAACTGGTCTGGCAAGATCCTCATGCAAGTTATTAGAGATGATAAACAGAAGAGTGATGTCAGTTTTCAGGGGGTGGTTTCAGTGCTCTCTCAGGTATTACTGACTTGTACAGTTTCTAGAAAACAACAGAAAAGAACAGGAAAGAAAAACACAAGATCTGCTCCCACTACCCCCCGAAACCAGGGGTCTCACCCACCCAGCCCCAAAGTTGTTTAAGTGTTGGCAGAACAATTATCCACACAAGGTTGGTTTTGGGGACTAAATGTTAGTATTTTCTTCAACTGAGGGTGTGCATGGAGGTTTCAGGACTGCTGTCAGGAAGGAGTGAAACCAAGAAGGCAAAAAGTCAAGGGTGAGTGTGCTCGGCCTGAGCAGGAGCTTGCAGAGGCCAAACAGAGTCGATGTGGACAGCGGTAGAAGGGCCAGGCTGAATTAAAAAGCAGGTCTTTCCCCAAACCTGAATATCCTGGTCCCCAAAACCACCTGATAATTGTTCCAAACAAGGTGCTGAACAGATCACGGCTTGTCTCTGACACAGAACCCATCTGGCAGGGAAAGGTCTGGAGGGGGACCAGCCCCAAACCAGCCCTGTCAAACTACAAGCGAGAAAAGGAGCCAACTGCAGGGGCAGGACCCTGTGAAGTGCTGGGGGGAGGTTGAAGGTCTTCTCACACACACACTTACATGGTTGCTCTCTCTATGTATCATTCATATCTATCACTGGACTCTTCTCTTCCTCATTCTCTGAAGAAAAGAACCGTCCCGGGTGCGTAACACAGGCAGAAATAAATACATGAAATCAATTAGAATCAAACACTTTCTGAAGGTGCTTTACAATCAACTGCAATAACTGCAAGTTACTGATGCAAAAATAATCCTTTGACAGCCACAGCATTAAAGCAACTGCTCTGAGCTGGTGCCCACGAGTGTTTCAGGGCCCTGGTTGTGACCAGAACTTCTTGGATCCTCCTCTTTTTGCTCTTTTGTTGTTTTTTGTTGTTCATTCTAATCCCCAAATGTTGTCAGTTCAAAAGTTAAATTGCTCCACCTTTTCAGCTGCCAGCATTTTAAGCTTGAGTCAGAAATCATTCAGAATGATCCACCTTCCCCAAGTATCAATTTGGAAATAAACTGTCCTTATTCTCAGGCCTTTGGAAGGGCAGCAGGGAGAAGGGGAGTGACAGACAGGGGGAAACAACAAATCCAAGAAGTTACAAGTGATTTTATAATAAAAAAAATCACTCACATGATCATGCTGGAGGAGCTTCTGACCGAGCTTTAACTGATTTCAAAGCTGTGCCAGGGTGCACACAACATGCCCCCTGAGTGCCAGGGCTCAAGCTGGGATTGGGAATTTGCTGGGAGCCTGTTCTGCCAACAGCAGATTGAACAAGCAAGCTCCTTAACTCTGGGGAGTTAATATGCCCCTGGAGTTTGGAAAGCCCCAGGCATGGCTGTATCACTGTGAGAGTTCACTCCAGCTCAGGGATGGATATGGAATATGTTTGGGTTACAGGAGGAGGTATTTGTTCCTTCTGCCTTCCCCATCAGGTGTTCTGCCCACAGGTTGGGATGCTGGGATTGCTGTGACTGAGCCCAAACCTCTGTGGGCTGAGATTCTGCCCCCTCAGTTATCACTAAACACACTTAAATGCAGTTCATAAACACAAGTTTGGTTCTGAGCAGGGTAAATGTACCACTTTTGAAAGGGGGAAAAGGTGCCCTTCATGGGGGAAGCTGTTCAGGCAGATCTGGATTGCAGGGCACAAGCAGGAGGAGTGCTAAGAGTGCTAAGCCAGAATTCCTCAGGACAGGGATCCAGGTGAAGCAGGGATGAAGCAGGACAGGAGTCAGGTTGGCACAACACACAAGCAGCCAAAGCACAGTCATGTCTAGAGAGCTCAAGTTGATTCCCACTGAAATAAAATTGGTTTAACCATCACCACCTGAATTTTCCAAGCCTTCAGACTACAGAGAACAGCAGTTCATGGATCAGGTGAATACCAGAAGTACCAAATCCATCCTGAACTAAGGCAGCAGGTTCCTGCTCTGCAGACCTCAAATCAGAGCCAGTGCAAGGGGAAGCTCCAATGGATCTCTGGCACAGAGGATTGGAGACAAATGGGAAGGTCTGAGGGCTGAAATGTGGCTATTTTATGTGGGTTGTTTTCACACGTTTCAAAGTGTAAAAAAAAAAAAAAATCATGAAACACGGGAAAAAAAGCTTCCAGCCTTCTGCACACAGGGATATCTGGGCCTGCTGTGTCCAGGGGATCAGTCACCCACTGCTGAGCCCAGCAGGAGTGGAGAGCAGAGAGGAAAGTGGTTTGGGCTTTACAAATCCTTCACACCTTCAAGTGGCAGAAAAATTACCTGAATTCCCCCTGGTTTGCAGGAGAACCCAGGCTGGGGCTGGAATAACGACCCCCAGCACCTGAAACAGGCCCTGGTGCTGCTGGAGGGAAGGGTAAGATCTGCAATAAGATACACTGAGAGTTCCACCTGGTTTAGTTTTACTGGGTCAGGTCTCGTTTGGCACCCTCTATTCCAACAGATGAGTTAATTTGGGAAGAGCAAATCATTTTGAGAGGGAAGCTGAAGAAGGAACCCCAGAAATTCAGACTGGTGTCACCTCAGGGCTCTTAAACCCTGGCAGTAACAGCTGATTAACCTGTGATTCTCCAGCAGGGACCAGGTTCCTAAA